GGAAAATATAATTTAGGAATATCATTTATCATGCCCCCGCAAGATGGAGCTCCGTGAGGAGAGTCCAATCTTCTTTTGCAAGAAGAAAAACCGAGTATGGGGAAGCGGTTAGGTAAGAGTATCTGCAAGCTAATTAGTAGAAGAAACACGGGTCACCCAAAGAGCACCACTTTGAACTTGTTCACAAATAAAATGATAGTCTAAAGCCACTGTTTCATGTGAGAGTGAAAATCGGATTATAACACAAATTCGTAGCACCAACGTTATCACAGTAGATCACCGATTGATGGGAAAGGAGACACCATGTCCACTGAGAAGAGAGCAAATCCAACAAAGTTCAGTTGCAGTGGTTACAACAGAGAGATATTCAGCTTCAGTAGAGGAGCGAGCCACAGTTCGCTGCTTCTTAGATCTCCAAAATATAGGATTTCGACCAAGATAAAAGCATTGGTGGAAGTGTAGTCATCCTTGTTACATACCCAATCGACACCAGAGAATGGATGGAGAGCTGTGCCAGAATGTCGATATAAAACAATACCATGTTCAAGAGTACACGGAGTAGGCGCTTAACTACAATCCAATGGTCACTAGTAGGATGATGCATAAACTGTGACAGCTTATTTAATGTGTAGGCAACGTCAGGGCGAGTGAGAGACAACTACTGGAGGCTACCAACAATATTCTGATACTCAAAGGGATCAGAGAGTGGAGTTCTAGAGTGAAGAGTAAGTAGTGGATCGGTGGAAAGAGGTGTAGACACACACTTGGCATCCATCATACGTGTTCGAGTAAGCAAATCCTTGATGTACTTACGTTGAGACAGAAGCAAACCTTGGGCATGAGACATCACTTCAACTTTAAAGAAGTAAGCCAAGGGTCCAAGATCCTTGAGAGAGAATCGGCTAGCAAGGATATGGATAAATTTTTGCTCAGTACCCTTACTAGCACTAGTAATAATAATGTCATCAACATATACCAAAAGATACATCAAATTACCATCGGTGTTGGAGATAATAGTGAGGTGTTGGCATGAGAATTGGTAAAGCCAGAAGTGAGAAGAAATTGGCGCAACTCATGATACCAGGCATGGGGAGCTTGTTTAAGGCCATAGATAGCCTTGCGAAGTTTACGGACATAACGAGGATGATCACAATCAGTAAATCCCTATGGTTGAGTCATGTATATATCCTCGGAGAGAGTACCTTAGAGAAAAACATTGTTGACATCAAGATGCCTAAGAGACCAACCACGACTGACAGTGAAACTAAGAATTAGACAAATAGTGGTTAGCTTAACAAATGGTTGAAATTGTCATGATAATCCATGCTACAACGCTGTTGAAAGCCCTTGGCCATGAGACGAGCTTTGTACCGATCAACAGAGCCATCAAATAAATGTTTAGTTCGAAAAATCCACTTGCAACCAACTAAATTCTGGTTATATCGGAGGGAACTAGGTCCCATATCCCACAAGAGCATCATATTCCTCAAACATAGCTTGATGCCATTAGGGATTTTTGATGGCCGAGTCACTGAAGTTGGGTCAAAGTAGTGGGTGGGGCAAGTTAAGCAGTGAGATATAATTTAGTGTGGGGTTTGTAGATATTGTTTTTGGAGTGGGTGACAATAACTCGGGGAAATGAGGGAAGAGGTGGTTCAGGTGATGTGGGGTTGGTAAAAGGTTGAGGTTCATGTCATGAATAAGGGATGTCGTGGCATTTTCTTGTAAAACTTGAGGGCCACGAGAAGAGGGGTCGTGACGCTAAGGTTCTGAACTTGGATGTTGTGGCATGGAGAGGAGGGCACCGTATAACTAAGGTTCTGGTTTGGAGAGATGGGCGGGATGGTATTAGGATCCATAAAGGGAGTCGAGGGCGATACCAAGAGTGATATATCAATGGCCAAAAGAACAAACATAAAGGGACACTAATGAGCGAGCATCTGAGAGGAAGGATGATCTAGGTGAGAGTGAAGAGAAGTGAATGGAAAGATGGTTTCTATAAACTTGACATGGCACGATGTGTAGACACGATATGAGTGGGAGCAAGGAAAAGATAAGCACTTTGAGTGGAGGAATGACCTAGAAACACACAAAGAGATGAACGAGGAGCAAGTTTGTAGGAGAGTATGATCGGAGAGAGGGATAACATAGACAGACAAAATTACGAAGTTTAGAGTAATTGGGAGGAGCACCGAAGATTTTGGCATATGGGGGAGGAACTAAAGTATGGGAATAAGTAAACGATTGATGAGATAAACTGCAGTGGTAAAAGAATAAGACCAATAAGAGAGAGGCAAGGATGCGTGAGAGAGAAGGGATGGATCAGTTTCAAGAATATGATCATGACAACATTCTAAGTATCCATTGTGTTCAGGTGTGTGAGGAGGAAAAGTTAAATGAGTAATGCCATTGGTAGCTAAAAAGGAGGAAAGTGCTAGATATTTCCCTCCATTGTCTGAATAAAAGATAATGATTTTTTGATTGAAAAAATTTTCTACGGAGGATTTGAATCCTACAAAAACATCATGTACATGAGATTTTCATTTAAGTGGATATAGCCATATGTATTTAGTGAAGTGCTCGATAAAAATCACATAATAATTGAAATCATCAACAGAGAGAATATGAGAGACGCACATCAAAGAATATAACTTCAAAAGGGAAAGAAGTAACAATTGAAGAAATGGAGAAAGGTAACTTGTGACTTTTATTACATAGACATAAATTACAATTGAAATTTAAATTGAGAGGACTCAACAATTCTAGATGAAAGTTTGAGGCAATATGCTTAAAAATAGAAAATGATGGATTTCTTAGATGATTATGCCATGCAGACGAAGCGGTCTTGACTCTTGAGAAAGTCAATATTGGAGAAGACTTAACACAAGATACCGGCCACTCATACACACTGTCCATAGTCTGACCCTGCAAAAGTGTTGCCCCGGTACAAAGATCCTTCACAAGAAAAGAATTAGGTAAGAACTCAATAAAAATATTATTAGATTGACAAAATTGAGAGATAGGGATGAGATTCTTTTTCATAGTGGGAATACAAAGAACGTTATTGAAGGAAAAGGCATGAAATGATGTATAGAGAGATTTTGAACCGATGTTGGTGATAGAGAGACTCTTTCCATCTCCAATCACAATGTCATAAGATCCTTCTTAAGGAGTATGAATGGGTAGATTAATCAGGTTGGTGGTAACATGGTGCGAAGCTCCACTATCAAGAAGCCAACTAAAATTGTCATTGGGATTAGCAGTTGCAAAGTTGGCCCGAAGCTGCTATGGAGCTTGAGAATGGTTTTGCCTTGTGGAGATGGTCACAAAGGTGGCATGGCTACAGGTTCAAATTTATCTAACGAAACATAGAACACTGTGAAACGGTGTGTCCTCGAACTCGACACCACTGACAATGACCCAAGAATGGCTAAAGATGAGGACAAGTCGTAGATCCTGAGATATGAGCATTGTCCCACGGAAGAGACTTGTACATCCATGGTGGGCCCTAAATACGGTTGCCAAGATATCTCGAATTGAATTGAGAAATAAGCATATTAGCGGAAGTAGGGAGTGGTGAGGAATTGGCATGATGATGATGCAGTGAAAGTTCTCTACTAATCAACTTCTCGTACAAGTCAGCAAATGAAATCAATGTGTCACGGCCATTGATAATATCAATAATAGGCTTATAATCATCATCAAGACCATCTAGAATTTTCTCAATAAGATCGTCATGATCCATGGGTTTGCCAAGTGTTGCGAGTTCATCCGATCGACCTTTAATAGGTTGCATATAATCAAAAATTGACTGCGTACCCTTGGTTGCATACTTGATCTGTTCCTTAATTTGTTTGATGTGCCCACGAGAAGGCCTTGCATATGTGTTGGCAAGGACATCCCATGCATCGTAAGAGGTTTGCGATTGAGATATAAGATGAATGAGAGATGGAATGAGAGTACC